CTAAAAAGCCTCCCTTCCAAGGTAGATACAGATCAACTGGGAGCCTCGCAACATCGCTGACTGCTTCTACTAACAGTCCTGACGGGGCCGGGAGTCCGACTCCTCAAAATAAACCGACGAAGTGTCCACTCTGCGTCAAGTCACATGATCTAGAAGAGTGTAAGGACTTCCTGCACAAAGATGTCGAAGAAAGAAAGAAATTCATAGCGGAAAAGAACATGTGCTTTGCCTGCTATGGCACGAATCACCGGTCCAAGGGCTGTACCAACAAAAGAACCTGTGCAAAATGCAAAAAGCCACATCCAACAACACTCCATGTAGAAAACTTCAGCATCAAAGACCGTGGTACTAGCAAAGGTGACAAACCACCTAACCCTGTCAGCAGCGCATGYACAGACACGAAGAGCAGAGATYAACCAGCTCGTTCAGTCGTTCTTCAAGCTTTAATTCCTGTTACAGTTACAAGCAAGGAAGGGAACTCGGTTACCTCCTACGCCCTATACGACAATGGAAGCTCCGACACCTTTATTACTGAAAGCCTAATGGATGACCTCAAGACGGAAGGTACAGAAACTACTYTGCGGCTCRGAACCATGCACGGACGYAGCGTGGAAAAAAGTTTCCTCRTCAAAGGTCTGACTGTTACCGACATTCAAGGCATGAACCCAGTTCAGTTACCTAACTGCYATACAAGACACGAGATACCTGTCTCACACGATCAAATCCCTACTCCTCAACTRATCAGTAAGATGAGTAATCTTCGTTCCATAACTGACATGATTCCTAATCTTATACCAAATGTAGAAGTTGGAGTTCTTATAGGATGTAATTGTCCTCTTGCTTTAGAACCGTTAGAGGTCCTACCAAGTGGGGGAAAGGGACCCTTTGCCATGCGCTTAAGACATGGCTGGACGGTGAACGGTCCTCTTCAGGTATCCTCAGACGTACACTATGTCAACAACATAGTAGTGAAAGAATTTGAAAGTTCCAAGGAGATTATTCTCCCTCAACAGATCTTGAACATGTTCGAACTTGATTTCAATGATCACGCAGTGAGTACTGATATGCCCAGTCTGTCTAAGGAAGATCAAGCGTTTCTTAAAACTGCACACRAAAACATCAACCTTGTAAACGGTCACTACGAGTTGCCACTACCCTTTAGAGAGACTGAAGTAATGCTRCCAAAYAACAAAGAACAAGCTATTAAACGAGCAAACTGGCAAAGGAAGAAAATGGTTCGAAACAAGCAATATCACCTCGACTACACAAAGTTCATAAACGACACCATAACCAAAGGCTATGCAAGCAAGGTCCCGGACAACGACTTGAAGACCAGCGAAGGAAAAGTGTGGTACATCCCTCATCATGGGGTGTACCACCCGAAAAAGCCAGAGAAGATAAGGGTCGTGTTCGACTGTAGCGCGAAATACAACGGCGTCTCACTCAATGACAAGTTATTGCAGGGTCCTAACCTCACTAACTCCCTAATAGGGGTCCTATCTCGCTTCAGGCAAGAGCGAATCGCTTTCATGGCCGACATCGAACAAATGTTCTATCAGGTTCAAGTACCAGGACACCACAGGGACTTTCTTAGATTTCTATGGTGGCCCAACGGGGATTTGGATGCTGACCTAAAA